TAGTTACTATTGAACTTGAATAGGAAGTCATATACTGGCAATCTAAATGTGACCTTAAAATTGACCTTTGACCTACTTTTCACCATGAACTGAACTTTGCAAATTTTGCTTCCCTTTTATCTCCAAAACTGGCAGAGATAGGTCCATAGTTACTATTGAAGTTGAATAGGAAGTCATATACTGGCAATCTAAATGTGACCTTAAAATTGACCTTTGACCTACTTTTCACCATGAACTGAACTTTGCAAATTTTGCTTCCCTTTTATCTCCAAAACTGGCAGAGATAGGCCCATAGTTACTATTGAAGTTGAATAGGAAGTCATATACTGGCAATTTACTGTGACCTTGGAATTGACCTTTGACCTACCTTACGATGAACTTAACTTTGATTGTACCATTTTTAGTTATAAATATATTTTTTGCATATTTTGAAAATTCTTGTTGATTGCATTTTTACAGCTTGTCAAGCACAAGACTGGTGGCTGTGTTCCTTATTTTGTGTATGTGGGGGTCTGTACGAATGCGCTTGCTCCAGCTGGTGGTACAATATTCGGAGGCAGTATCGCCTCTCTGATCCTCTAGTTGTAATATAATTTTACATGTTCAATGTTCTACCGGTATATGTTCTAAAATGTAAACAGTTTTCACTCATATGGTATTGTACATGTACATTATATGCTTATAATGTTAAATACTTGTAATTACTAACAGCTAACAGTACGTAATTCATTCTCACAAAAGATTATACTAGTATAAAATGGTATTTTTCCTTTCATGTCTATCATATGCTTTTATTTTTAAAATGTGCTTGCAAATTGGCTAATTTACTTTGTAAATAATACTCAGGAGTTGGCTTATAAACATGTATTCCAGTTTGATATTTGTGCATGCATATATATTTTTATAAATATCTGATATATATCTCACAATATATTTAGCTTTGGGTATCCAGACCCCGGGTACCTTCAGAGAGTTCAGGAGGAACTCAAGGCCAAGGGAATTGAGGAAGAGCAAGATGAAGTTCAGCAACCACCAGGTATGCTAAAATGTACTATGTACACCTCATTGTGATCTCACATTCTCATACATGTTCATATCCAATTCATTATAAATATGTGCAGTCTTATGGCATATATCAGTCGCCGAAGATTGTTGTCAAGTAAGCCATACCTTTGCCAGTCATTGTGAGAACAAAATCCAAATGGGCATTTAGTAGCTGATATTGTGACTAACACAAGATATATGTATATGTAAGATTGAGTTGAGTCATGAAGTTCATTTATAGTTAATTGTTATTTCCTCTTCTAATATTTATGTATGATGCAAGTGTTCACACACACACACACATATAATTTTTTTCATTAGTTGTCCACCAGCATAACAAACATGAGAAACCCAGCCAGCCCTCAAACACTTGTGACCTTCCTTCTCACTGGAGTCCAATGCCCCCAGGCAAAGTTGTGGATATTATTGAGTTAAAGCCTAAGGATCCAGATTTCAAGAGAGTAGCAGGAAGTATTTCATGTGGAAAGTTCAAGTTGAACAACATAAAGGTAGGGAAAAGAGTAATAAATGGATGCATGCATCATGACCTGTCTTTAAAAATATTGGCATTATGTTTAGTGGTAAATTTACAGGTGCAAAAAAATGAGCAAAATCTCTGCATCAAAAGAAAGTACTATTTATATATATTTCTTTTTTAGAATAAAACTCATGATGTCTGTAATTAAGATATTAAAAATTATCAAATAAATGTGAATGGATCATGCAAGCAGCCCCCATTTGACAAATTGTGTTGTTGAATTTTGCCAGAAAAAAATTATAATGAAATTTCTTGTTAAAAAGAAAATGATTAGATGCACACTGTGAAGTTGACTTATATAATTCGCTTCAGATGAAAAATAGTCAATAAATAAGGTACATTTACAAAGGCAGGAGTTTGGTTATTAAATTTCACATACACCTTGCACCTTATTTAATGTAGGAACTTAAAAAACCAACAAAAAGATTTCTATCATAGACTACTATACATATTGTACACTTGTAAAAAATAGTTATCTTGTGTTTGGGTTATGAACAAATTCACTCTCAATCTCTCAAAACTTAACCTGGTCAAAACTTGGGATCACTCTAAATAATGTGGCAACTTTTTTCAGAATCTTTGTACAGGATATATCACAGGGGAGACCACGAGTCAGTACAAAGGCAGACTCACCTAGGACAGTTTCAATCATGATCACTGATTCTCCTAGGACAGTTGTTGAACCCTCAGTTTGTTTTCCTTAGCTAGTAAAAATGCAAAATGGATGATAATTTTAATAATGTCAGCTTTTTCAAAAAGGAATTTACAGTCTTTTATTAAAGAAATCCAAATCTGTAGTTCATTAAAATTTAAAATGTTCAGCTTGTCAAAATTAGTATTTTGTAATGCCATACATCTATTCAGATGAGTATATCAAAGAAAATATTGATTTTGAACTTTCCTGGTCACAAAAGTTGGTCGAGTCATCACCGGGAGATTCCAATTAACTCCAATTAATTATGCGGAATGACACTGAAAACCATTCGCTTTACTAAAAAATGTTATAATATCCATATTTTTCATCTTAATAGCTTGAATTTTCACTGTTGATAGAAAAAATATAAATGTAAGTGTACTCTAAAATGTTCTTAAAAACAACATTTAGTTGTCATACCACATTTAAAATGTGTATTTTACCAACCAATGACTCCCTATGAAAAAGCCATCTAATATTTGATATTTGGGTTAGGGTTTGTGTTAGGATTAGGGGTACGGTTAAGGTTAGGCACTGAAAATACAGCATAAAAAATGATAGAATTCCTAAATCAAATTACTGAAATTGTTAAATCAAACAAGATAAACAAAAAAATAGCTTTATGAAGTTTTGTGGGAGGGGAAGGGGAGTCAAAATTTCATGGGGGGAATCAGGTTTTCATAATGAAATTTTGACATCGAGGAGTCAGATTTTCATGTTACACCTGTGCTATCCAGGCAGTATGGGGAAGGGCCTAAAACAAACACCTTGTTTAAATCTATAAAATTAAATTATTTTTTGATAAGTTATTTTTAACTTCCATTTTACAGATTTACCGCATACAAAACTCGGAATTGTTCCAAAGATTCATGGCTAATAAACAGAGTATGAGAGAAAATTTCTCTCAGGGCAGCATAATAGAAAGTGCATTGTGGCATGGGACAAGAGAACATAAAATGGACTCTATCAGCAAATATGGTGTTTGTCCTCATTACAACTCCCACATGGGACATCTTGGTAATTAATAAAGTCTGCTTCTATCAATATTCTATCAAGAAAATTATCATTTCTCCAGTGTATTTATTTATTTTTGTAAATTTTCATCTTCCAAAGGATAGTATTAAAATTTAAATCTAATACTAGTCATTTTAAGGAAGGGGTATGGTACTGATTACTACAAACTTGGACCTATCGTGCATTTGTATAATGGGTCCAAGCTACAACAAACTGTCAACAGTATAGTGAATTTTCACAACTAAATCTACACTAGTATTTTCCTTTGGATTTTTTATTTATTACAGGAAATGGTGTTTATTTCTCAGTCAGTGCAGAGAAATGCAGTCTACTATGTTGGGCTCCAATTCCTTCAGGCAAGAAGCACATGATAAAATGTCGTGTGCTGACAGGAAAGTACACACAAGGTGTAAGTGCTTGGATGAGTTCTCCACCAGTGAGGCCAGGTTCAGGTGGTACATTTGATTCAGTTGTTGACAGTGTTTCAGATCCATCTGTGTTTGTGATCTTCTCTGCTGTCCAAATATATCCAGAATACTGGATAACATTTACCTAAGTTTTGATATGCTGACAGTGATGAAATAAGACAAATTTTCATTTGATTATATTTACAGACTGAAAGTTGTTAATTAAGAAATGAGATAATTGTTTTTCAATTTTTAGCTAGTGATGGTACTTAGTTATAAAGTTGATTTTCTTCCCCCTTATCCTATCCACAACTACAAATTTTGGATATATCATTGAGAAACAAGTTTTGTTAGGTTTAATTTTGTTTACTATTAAGAAGCTTTTAAGCTGATCATTCAAGTCATATAAATTTGTGTACTCTCACACCAGGCTAGGATAAAATGGTGTCTACGGAGGCTCATCTATTTTAATGCTAATCGAAACCTGGGGCAGATAAATTGTTTTATTTGACAAAGTTGACAAACTGGACAAGTGAGAAAAGTTGTCAGGGGGTTGATAGGAACATGCTGTAGAGTTTAAAGTTATGACAGCAACTATTGTATAAAGATGAAGCTTATAAGAACATTGTTTGTGTAAGTCTGTTTAAAACAAGTGTGGACAAAAATGTTAGATGTTCCAGTTCAGAACATTTACATACATTTGTCATTGTTGACATTGCATTCTCGTGAAGACCGCAGGAAGTCACCAAAATTGCATAAGTGATAGTTTATAGACTGGAGTATTTGGAAAAATAGGTAATTTTTCCCAGTATGGACAAAATAACCAGACTAACTGTATATATATATATATATATAGAGAGAGAGAGAGAGAGAGAGAGAGAGATGGATATCTGACTTATAGTACGTATTATAACATGTTAAAAGGGGTTATTGGTGATACATAAACACTTATATAGCAAAGAAATGGAATTTTCACTTACATGTAAATTTTGCCAATTGTTAATTCCTGTACCTGTACCCAAAATAAATTTCTTGAGAAAATTAACATCAATTGGTACATTTTCAAAATCTATTCAAGATCTTTTTTTTTTCAATCCATCAATATTAAGATTTATTCAGTAATTTATAAGATACACAGATGTGCACATATATTTTACCATAAAATTCAGTTAACTTACTGTAAATAACATTCTCCTAGTGTGTAAGAAGGGTTACTTCAGGTATCATATTAATGATTCAATAATAATTTTAATGATAACCTTGCTTTATTCAAATGCCATCCAGCAGGATGCTTTTTTCAGATCCCGTTTATATACAAGTACATACATTTAAATATCTTGGTGGGTTTTGTTCGTATGCAAGTGTATGATTGTGCCATATATTATCTTTTGCCTTTCTCCAATTTGCATGTGTAAGAGACTATGTATTCAAATTCTTTTAAAAAGACATTTTAACTGCAGTGATGTTAACCATATTTTTGCAAAGATTATTATTTTACAATGGAACATTGTTAGATATGAATATTTTGTGAATGCCGTTTTAAAATTGTTTATTGTCTGAACCTTCTGTTATTCAAAGTACTTTCACTTTTATATAGTCATATATTTGATCGTTTACTTCAGCGAAATAGTGGAGTTTTTTTAGATGTTTGTGTATAGATAGAAATTTTATGAAGACTAGAATTGCAAAATATGAACAACTGCTCGCCGACCATATATCAATCACAAGATATAAAGGATAAAATTTTAGTGAGTATTACCAAAAAGACCTTGGTCTGAACAAATTTAAGCATAACTGTGTCAGTGTTTTAACTTAAATTTGTTCATCTCAGAGATGGCAACACAATTGATTCTGCTTATTATTAACATGTCTCCTTTAGTAGTTGTTTACTCCAAAGATGTTATAGCAAATGGCCTTGTCAATTTTTCACCTAATTATGCTTGCAACAAGAGTAAAGCAGTAAAACAACTGGTACACATAATAACTTAGCATTTAGGATGACAATAAATTTTCTCTGTGCATTTTGTTCTGTTTTTATTTTTACTTTTTACTAAAAAATATGAATGTTTAAAATCAGACATATGAAAAATAGGAGTTCAACTCTAACATATATACAAAATAATTCTAAGTTTGGAAGTGATCATAAAACATGAAAATAATTTTTCAATGGGGGGGGGAGGGTAGCTGTAAAAAATAGTCTAAGAAAGTCTTAAGAAAACCTTGTCCAATGATGACAAATGGATAATATATAAAGAATTTTTATAAATCAGCAAAAACTATATATCTTCACACTAAAACCAGGTTGGAAAATTGGAAACTTGTATCTCAACCAGAGGGAAAGCTCCCCATTTTGTCAATTTGTGTCACTGTTTTGATTTGACTGTGCCTACATGTCCACAATATTTACCATCAAGAACTTTTGCAGTGTATTGTCCATCTATAAACATAAAAAAAGAAAATAAAATGGTTTATCACAAATTTTGTGTGTTGTTTGACACGATACATTTTCATTCTTGACTACCATGATAATAATTATATCACAAAATATGCCATATTCTGAATCTCATGCCATGCTAAAATTTATGAATGTTGACTTTTCAATCTTTAATTTCTCTCTTCTCTCAACATGAGAATAAAGCCACCCTTGCAAGCATCTAATCACACTCTTCAAACTTTATACCTAATATAACAAAGCAAGAGCAGGATTCTAGGACAATTCCCCCCCCCCCCCGGACTATTCCCCCTAAATTCCTTAGTGTGGTGATGCAAAACAAGGATAGATAGTATTAATTTTATTAAACAATTTATTTTCATGGAGTACAAGTACATTAAATTTTTCGAGATAGAAGTACAGAACATTTTACTAAAAATCTGACCAAAGTATATATATCTCCAGGTAAAGGAGGGGTAAACAGACAATCTCACTCATCCAGGGAGCCCTTTGATGAATTAACTGTTACTTTTAATTGCTTTATTTCTCCCCCCCCCCCCC